TATAATTTTATGTATATGTATATAATTTGTAAAAAAAACAATCGGAAAGTGTCTGTCGGCACAATGGTTCGAGGTGCGCCCAGAGAAACCGGACTCACCCATTGACCCGGGTTCGAGTCCCCAATCTGGGAGCCTCAACCATTTTTTTTTTTATATAAAACGGATTCTCAGAATTCGTTTTATAATGAATTATTTGTAAAACGTATTCTGAGAATACGTTTTCATCTAAATTATTTATAGAACGTATTCTACAAGTACGTTTTAAACTGGGAAAAAAAATAAAAACCTTGGTGATGATCACACGACTCGAACGCACCTGTTTTAAATATTCAAAACAACCAACTAAACCAAAAGTACACGAACAAATCAACCAATCTACCTTAAATATCATCAAACCAAGTCCAAATAAATCATACAAACAAAACAAAATAAATAATCCAACCAGATCCAAATAAATAATCCAAACAAATTCAATTAAACAATAAAAAATCTAATCTCCCCACACATCACGAAGTCTAGACCTATCGCTGCGAGGATGTGAGGACGGACACTCTTCCACAACATGCTCTGGATCACCGCATCTAGTAAAATGCCCCCTTTCATTTCTGCGTCGTGCCCGACGATCCATTTGCATGTGGTAGCGTCTCGTTTGCTTGCAACCGGGTCCAGGCTTCAAGATGATCCTCTCCCAGTGCGGAATTAAATTCCATCCCACCGGCGGCCATGTATCCGGATTACCAATCGGAGTAAAACTTCAATTAGTAAATTGAGCTACCCAGGTCGACGTCTAGAAGTGATCATCGTACAGCAGCTTTGGGTCACCCGCAATTCTACGACAGACAGCTATCGCGTGAGAACACTGTTTTCTATGCGTCTGCCACTTCCGACAAGTACAACGTTTTGCGGGGTAATCAACCTTATACCTGTATTTCCACATTTATTTATATATATACAAAATAAAAAATAAAATGAATGAACAACAAAAAAAAAAAAAACATATACTTACTTGTTTTGCCCTCTTCCACTAGCACGTAGACCGATTGTCACCGCGTACATGGATCTGTCGTAGTCCGTACATTCCACCTCGTGAGTTGCGGCTGTTTGCTCCAACTGCAAAAATGCGACATAGTGCTCCCTAGCAATGGGACTCCTGCATCTGCTGGACTTGTTTTGTTCTTGTCGAAACAAATCCAGAGTTTTTTTTTAAATGTGGCCTCTACCAAAGCTCTGCACAGCAGGAACCTAACCCCTTTCAGGACATTGTTGTAACTCTCCGACATATTCATTGTCAAAGTGCCCCATCTATGTTTTTCATCTCGATACAGGGTCCACCGGTTCAAAGGAATTTTAAAAAGATAATTGTATGCGTCGGAATTAAATTCTTGAAGTCGCTGTTTTGTCTGTCGAAACTTTTGCTTCGACAACTGCGAACCTAACTCCTAACACCAATCCTGTATTTTCTTACTCCTGAACCAAGTCACCACGTTGCTTCGAAGATGTCGAAGGCAAATTCGGTGATACACAACGGGTTCTTGCCAATCCGGTAATGATTCAATCGCACTGCGTAGGCCCACATCCCTGTCAGAAAGAACGCATATCTGTTTGTCGAATACAACATATCGATGCAGATTCCTAAGGAAAAATGACCAACTGTCCGTGCTTTCTTCGTCGACAAGCGCATACGCGATTGGCAATAGCCGCTTATTCGCAGTCTGTGTTACGACCACGAGCAATTTTCCTTTGTAATGTCCACGTAAATGTGTGCCATCGATGCTAATAACCGGCGGGCACATGTCGAAGGTTTGAATCGCGGGACCAAACGCCCATAACACGAATTTGAATTCTCTGTCTGGAACGTGTCGCGCCACATCACCACCCTGAAATTCCCAATCTACAGCTGTGTTGGGATTCGCTCTTTGAAGCGCGACAAAATATCTGTACAATACAAAACAATTTCATAAATAAATAAACATACTGACAGACAAAAAACACGTATATTTGTAATTAATTTTTGCTTACTGAGGGAGTTCTGCGAAGTTCGACTCCCAACTGCCTTACACACACTCGATTGCTTTTTTCTGCCGTGCCATGCCTTCTTGTAACTGACGTCGACTTTCCAACACTGCTTCACATCAGCCTGGACATGTTAATGTTGTACTCCACTTTATTCTGAATCTTATTAATTATAAGATTCGCAATCATATGGGCGGTCACGTTTCTGTGGTCATTTCAGTTACTTCCCACAAATCATCACGCCGTCTGGACTTATTCACCCGAGCCTTCCACAGACAAGGCACGTCTGCATTCGATTTGCAGACCAGTTTGAATGACTTCTGATTTGAATCTTTTGTCCGAACCTCCCGCAACCTATCGACGTTCCAAGCCATTAGACCCGTTTGAGCTTCTTCCTTGCTCCGGAAAACTGTACCCAAACGTATGGTCTCAATGTCGCCATTCCACCGTGGAATAGCATACTCGTTCCCATCTATCCTGGACGGGTCCCATTCACCCATCTCGTGGTATATGTGCCGACCACCAATAGGAAATGGGTGTTCTTCTTCGATGAACTCGAGTTCACTCTCCTCATTAACTGATCTATCTGATTCGGTTTCTGAGGTCTCGTCTGTGAAGTCATCTTCACCGGGAATAAAATCTTCATCGTCCTCATCCGCCGCTCATTCTCTCGATGTCCCTTTTTCAAAATTAGGTACATGAGAAGTCGATGTACCCTCGACATCAAAGACTCCCCCGTAACAAGGAGTAAAATCCTCAAACTGTGTAACGGGTGTGTTTTCCTGCAACGGTAAATGCAAATACACCATGGACATACTAGGAAAGTAATAAATCCATTCAAAACTATCGTTATTGAGTATTGCGGGATTCCACGAACCATCAGGTTGGCTAATCATCATAGTAATCTCCTGAATTGTCCAACCTTCTTCAAACTGACATTTTGCATTAATCATCTGTACCAACTGTTCATATGATATCCTCCCCGGAATTATAAATGAACCACTCGGACGATCTTTAAATGGAACAAAATCGCTTAACATTTCCTTCCCAAAATGCCAGTACAAATTAACAAGGTATGTACCGGTATAGGCCATTTTATACCTGTTGCAAATAAACACTTTGAATTCTTTTTCAAAAAAAAAAAACTCAACTTTTACTCTCCAACAAGAAATAAAAAATAAAAAAATAGCCCCAATCAAATAATCATCCAAAACCACTAAACTCATAATTCAACAATAACATAAAATTCATCTATAATTCGGATAAATTGAAACCCCTAATTCTAACCCTAATTTCGAAAAACCCTAACCCCAACAACAACAACCAAACAATACACAATTGACAATTTACACACAAAATTTCAATCCTCAA